AAAAAGAAAATCAATAACTCAACAAATATTTATTAAACACTTGCTATGTGCCAGGCAACATGCTAGGTGCTGAACATTCTAAGGTAAAGTGTGGAACAGTCCCTGTTCTCAAAGAGTTTACATTCCATTAGAGGAGATAACATGAACATATATGTGGGTACACATACATATTTATTCATATATATTCATATATATGTATGTATACATATACTTATGTATACATACATATGAGGAGATGTATACATATGTATACATACATTAGAGGAGATAACATGAACATATATGTGGGTATACATACACATTTATTCATATATATTCATATATATGTATGTATACATATACCTATGTATACATACATATACATATACCCTGGTCTGGTCCATACACATATATGAACACATGTGATTCTATATATAAATTACTAATGTAGATCAACACCTTTTCTGAAGCTTATCATCTTAGAGTGTTGCCCTAGAGCATTGAGAGGTTAAGTGACTTGCCCAGGGTCACACAGTCAGTTGTATCAAGGGTGGGACTTGAGCCCAAGTCTTTCTGGCTTCAATGACAGTTTATTCAATAGGACACTATCTACATATGTGTCTATGTGTATGTGTGTATTTGTATGTGTACATACACTCAGAAATGATACAAAATAAATACAAGGTAGTTGAGGAAGGAGGGCTCTAGCAGTTAGGAACATTATGAAAATTGGGAGAGTTTGTGTAGAAGGTGATGCTTGAACTGACTGAGAGATTGTGGAAGTGAGGAGAAAGTGAATTCTAGACATAGGGGGTGGCCCACGCAAAGGCTCAAAGACGGATATGGAAGAATGTCAGTTTGGTTGGATTGTTGGCTCTGTCCTTCTCTTTAATTCCCCTTGTTCCCCCAGCCCCTAAAAAGGGGCACAGGGACAGGACCAGCTGTTTCTAGAGATGCTTCGAGGATAGTGACAAATACTTGAGCCAGGGCCCAAATTTGTGGGCAATGGTGTCATTGAGGCAGAGGGTCTGAAACAGCTAGCTGGACTGGGCTGGTCCCTGCCATGTTCCCCAAAATTCGTGAGAGGGGAAGGGTTGAAACTGATTCAGGCTGTGACCAAAATATACCCTGAACAAATAAAAAAGTCTTTGGAGCCAGATCAGGGAAGAGTGACGGAAAAGAAAGAACGGAATTCTCTGAAGTTCAGGGCTTGGGGTGGGGGTGAGTATTTAAGCCAGTCGAATTTCTTATGCACTAGCCAGGAGGAAGATAGAAACTTGTGATTTGGGGGCATCTTAGCCTCAGAAAGTCCCCTTCACCCAAAGGCCCCCCACCTAGTTTTCTGTATGATAAAAAGTCATAACTTCCTTTCCTGGATTAGAGAAGCCTTGGCTTATTCTAATAACCAAATAATCACTCCCCCCCAGTACTATCCAAGGATATCCAAGCACCCTAACAACTGGCTGCTGTTTCCCTGAAGCCCTGCTTATTCATGAAAGCAGACATAGGCCAGAAACCTTTCAGCTTCCTGAGGAATGGTTTTTTTTGGGGGGGGGGTGTTTGGGTGGGGAAGGGGTGACCAAGATTGTTTACAGTAATTACTGGGAGTGGAGGGGGGCATGGATAGGAAATAGCACTGAGACTTTTTTTCTGAATAACCCCCAACTTTCTACCCCCTATCTTTTCCTGAATAGGAATCAACTGTGGTGAATAAGGAAGACTGGGGTGCTAAAGAGCTGGACAGACCACTCCCCTTCCTTCCCTATCTTTGGAAAAAACCGTGGGAGGCCTGGGAACACCCCCCGATGCTCTGAAGGAGAGGCCCAGAGAAAGTTTTAACTTTCTTTGGCTGGATCTCTCTGAACTCATCTCCTCACCTTCCCCCACCCCTGCACATATTCCTTTCACTGATTCATCCTTCCTTCCCCATCAGTTCCCCTCCCCCCACCCTTTTCCCCTGGCCCCTGGACTCCACAGCACAATAGTTTGGCAGCTCTTGGATTCCATGACACACTCACTCCCCCAGCCTTTTCTCACTCTCTCCTCTCTCTCACACAACAGACACAAACACAAGTACAAGTGTTGCAGAAACTCACATTTCTGACACCCTAATGGGGGGGGGGGGTAAGGAACCCTTAGAATCTCATACAGATTAGCCCACATTTCCCTTCAAATGCCAGTGTTTGCACACATAAAGACAGAATGAGAAGGAGAGGGAGGAGCTCCTGGGGGGGGGATGGAGATGTTATAGTCGGGGGTAGGGGCCGAGATGGGTCCTGGTTGCTGGGAAGGAAAACTTGTCTCCCCCAGCAACCGGCACCAGTCCAGACATTGAAGTTAGCCATGGGCTAGGGAGAGGGCTGGGGGCAGGGAACAAGCAGACCGTTAACTATGAAGCAAGATTCTTCTTGAGTGTTCCCAATCTCCCTCTCTACCTGGCTCCTGCCCTCAGACCTCTCCCAAACACATCCACGCCCCATAAAAGTGAGAAAACTTCCATCGACAAATGGCCCCCTTCCTTCCCTGTCTCAGCCTCCTTTGAGATCTCAGCCCCACCCACCCCCAAAAGCAAGACAGAAGGGAAAAGGATGAGCTGAGGGAGGTATTGGGACAGCTGCCACTACCTCATGTCCCCCCTCTGTGCTCCCTCTTCCCACCCCCACCCCCCAGCTGTTGGCTCGGAGAGAAGGAATAGCAACTGGGGAACAGCTGAGAGACAAGGATGGCTCACTGGACTCTTTGTTCACAGGTCTGGGGGAGGGGGGACAGACGTGAAGTCAGGAAGGGGACAATATCACCTTTAGCCTAGCCTGAAATTCCCCTACACCCCTCCTCCCCTTCAAGGCAGCAGTTCTTTTTCTTTGCCTCTATCCTAGGCCTGGGTGGGGTCTGGCTCCAAATCTCCCTTCCCCAGAAAAGATAGGATCAGTGCCTGGATAAGAGTAACGGCGAGAAAGAGGGAGACTTCTTGGACCTTCACTCCCTCAAAGACATGGGATAAGGGGAAAACCAGAGAATTCTAGTTTCAGATACCAAGGCAAAGACATCTTGGGTCAGCAGTAAAAAGCTGAGTCAGGCCCCTACCCTGGTGTTAGGGTCTCTCTCCACACACTCAAATGGGCAGAAAAAGGGTTGACAACAGTTGGCAGAATAGCACCAGAGGGCAGAAAGTCAACTCTTCACATCTGTTCACAGCTGGGCAGACCCCTTGATTGTCAATGGCTCTCTCCCCTCCCTCCTTCCTAACCCCTGGAGCTGCATTGCTGACAGCTTATCTCATAGATGCGTGAGAGCCACTTGGCCCAGACAGCGAACAGCTCTCCTCCTTCCCCACAGGAAGCAAGAATTCTCTGTCTCGATCCTTCTCTCCTCCTCACTGCCCAAATCAACTCCTTTTTTTCCCTCTAACACCAGCTCATCCCTTTCCCAGTCTAGTGTGAGCTCCCTCCACTCGTGTTAGGCTCAGTCAGTGAGGTCTGTGAGGGTGGTTGGGCTGAAAACTTTTTGTGGAGATGTTGAGAGAGATGAGGTCAGGGAGGATGAGGCCCCCAGATAGGGGTTGGAAGTGGTGGATGAGGCTGAGAATTTTGCAAATAATTTCTATCTCCAGACAGATGCAGTATGAGTTTCTGAAGAACAGGACCCTTCCCACTCATGAGCTCTGCTCAGCTATCATACGTGCCCATACACTGTTCCCTCTCCAATTAATCCCACTCTTCTGAGTAAACCAGGTCAGGTATTTTTGAGGTGGTCCCTTCTATCCTCTATAACCCCACTTGTTACAGACTCTGCTGGTCTTCTCTGCATTCCCCATCCACCCATAAGCTTTCAGTTCCCCATATCCCCTGCCTCAGTGGCATCTCTCTTTCCTCCTCCACCCCCACCCTTTCCCCTGCTCCAACATGGCCTGTCCTTCTGGAAAGCTCAGAGACATCTGCTGTGTCACAACCAGGCCATGCTATTTCCAGTCTGGGGCAGGCAGTGGGGGTGGGGTAGGGGGACGTCGGTCATTGGGGAAGGAGCTCATGAAGTCGAGGGAGGGGACTGGACAGGACAAGGGGCCCCATGCTGACCTCAGCTGCTAATTCAGGCAGGCCCAGTGTTAGTAGTGGCTCAAGGGAAGCTACAGGGCCCAATAGACAGCGGGATTAAGTGGGAATGTCTCTCCTTACCTCTCACTATGAAGGATTCACCCTTTCAGGACCCCAGATAGCCCTATCTCTGGTGTGGAAACCCCACCACACACTACTATCCTCCATGTACCTCAATACTCTGGGCTCCATGGAACTGTGGAAGTCACCCTTAGGTAGGGCTCCTTATTTTTAGCCAACAGAGACGTGTCTTTTTTAAATAGATGATCATATGGTATGAGAGTCCTCCATAACCCTATTCTTGCTCAAATCACATCCACAGCTCCCTAGTTCTTGCCACTGCCCTTTCCTTCCTCTCTCCCTCCCCTTTCCCTTCCGCCACACAGCCCTGTCCTGATAGAAACCAGGAGAGGGGAATTCTACTTCCTCAGAAGTAGTGGTCCAGGCAGATGTTACTGGTTCTCTCCCCCCACCACACCCCCCCCCCACACACTTCCATCTGTGAGCCTTTTGCCTCAACCCTCCTCACACACAGCTTCAGGCTTTGGTTACAATCAACATTTCTATTCCCTCTTCTCTGTATATGGGGACTCCTCCCTTGTTCCCTGCCTTTTGGTTGGGGGCTAGGGAAGATTTGATATGAAGACCCTTCTTAGGTAGGTCGAGGAAGGGTAAGGACAGGCAGGGGTTAATGTTTCCTATGCTCACTCAGTGCCTTTTTAGGTTTCAAAGGCTGGGTCCTACCCCCTTCCCCCCCCTCCAAGGCCCCCAGGGGCTGGGCCCAGCTGCCAGGCACATGCCTAGCATGGGGGACAAGAGGAAGGAGAAGATGTCATTGCTTCCTTCAATACCACAAAGCTACCCCGGCCCCCAACACCTTCATCTCATTTAAAAGGAACTCGGGAGCACCCTTGCCATCTTCACAGACTACTCCACATAATGGCAGGCCACTCCGGGAGTGGCTAATATCCTGTCTCCTGGTCTCCCCTAAACACTACTCTTAAATTTACTGTTTTAGTGACCACCAAAAAAACTGAAAAGAAGGATATGTGCTTTTAAGGTGTCTGTTGATTTCCAAAAGGGGAAACTGAGGAGCAAAAAGATGCCAGAACTGTTAGACCTGTTAGCAAAGGTCTGGCATGGAAGGCAGAGGGCTTTGAGGAGAGGTGATGCAGGTGCAGGTGCTAAGATGGGGTGTGTCAGGAATGGGAGGGAGAAAGGGGGGGGAAGGGATGAAGCACATGTTGGTGTATCTCTTCCTTATCTAGCTAAGGGGTGTGTGTCTGTGATTGAAGGAAAAAGTACCGTGCCTGGTGTGGGTAGCAATGTGGCAGGGTGTGTGAGATATTGGTGCCAGTGTCTTTCTCTGTCCTAGTAGCCGAGCCCTCCTTCCTCCCCACTCCCCACTAGGGCTCCCCGACTATCCTGCCCTCCCCCAAACCCCAGGGGCTCTCCGAATAGCCGGTGGGTTCAAGCCCAGTAGGTTCCACCACAGAAGGCTCCTCCCCCAGGCTCTTTCTACCGGCCAATGGAAAACCCCAAGATCCCCCTTCTCGCTTTCCGCGCGTGGACACCACTCCTGCACCACGGCCTGTGGAAAGGAGGAGGTCTGCCTCCGCCCTCGAGCCGTCCCGCCCCCGCGTGGGCACAGGCTGCCCAGGCCCCTTCTTTCCCCACCCCACCCGGTCCCATCCCGTCCCGTCCCGACCGGTCCCCTCCCCAGGTACTAACCGATGGACACCAGCTTGATGTGTTCGCGCTCCAAGAACTCGAGAGCCACGGACACGTTTTCGAGTTTCATCTGGCGAAAGTTGGGCCGCGGGTGGAACTTGCGGTACATGCGCTTCTGGCTCAGCACCTCGAGCAAGGCGATGAGGCGCAGGCCGTCGCTCAGGTCCCTCTGGAGGTCCCCCAGGCGCTTGCCCACGCACTTTAAATGCTCGTTACACCAGCGGGTGAAGGTGTTCTGCTGGATCTTCTTCCACGGCGCGTCCTCGGCCAGGTCCTTCTCCGTGGACGGCATCTCCTCCATCTCCTCGCCCAGGCCCTCGGGGTAGTTACTGTTGTTCATCGTGATCGCTTCGGGGGTCGGGCGAAGTCCGAGGAAGGGGCTAAGACAAGCTGTCGGGAGTCCCGATCCTGGGTCCAGAGGACAGGGCTGGGGGCGGCGTGGAGCGCCTTCAGATCCCCGTGGACGGGGTCCGGAGCCGGCTCGGTGGGGCAGGGGTGGTCGGAGCCCGGGGCTGGGCTGGGAGGCAGAGTCCCCTCCTGGCTCTGGGTAGCGGTCCTGGGAGCTCCTGACTCCTCTTCACCTCTCAAACTTCCTTCACTATCTGGAGCCTGGTAGGTCAGTCTCTCGTCCTCTGCCTCAGGCTCGGGCTCGGGCTCTCCTTTCCTCCTCCTCTTCCACGCCTGCCTCTCG